GGTGAACATGCAAACCCTTCAGAGGACTGCTTTTATACTCCGAGTAAAAGTTAGACCAGAAAAGATCATAGGAAATATCTTTCAGTCTAGGTCTGAAAGGAGATCATGTGCTTAGGGTCTGATTGTTACCTTCCGAAGCAAAACTTGCCAAAACGTTCATTGTTGAGGTTGATATTTTCTTTGCTTGCTTTGCTCACACTTCCAACCACCAGCTATGGCAGTGTAAGAATACTCTGCTCCAATGAGTTTTTAATTCTCTGCCCCTCTGCATTGTAAAAACATGAATACATCTTTTCAGGACTGCATTTCTGTCTTTGTCTTCTTAGAAAACCTGAACAGTGGTATCCTTTAACTCGACGTGTTATTTTGCTTTGGGGTAAAATTATTAGAAATGTGTCTGGTTTAAACTGACACATAGCCATGTCTGAATTTCCAGACTTGATTTTGCAGCTTGTTAAAAGCAGAGCTAGGGAAGTTTCCCATTTTCTGGTGTCAAATAATTTTATTGGAGGCTGCTCTTGCTTAAAAATGCATGTGCATAAAGGAAGAAATGAAAACTTCCTTTTGCTCTCCTTCAAATCACTGTTGCTTGGGCCGTTGCCTTTAATGGAATTAGGCTCTGATGCAGATAAAACAGAGTTCTGTTTTGCAACGTGAATGTTTGGATCCAAGACTTCTAAAACTTAAGGTTGGCTTGGTTACATTCCCTTTATCACGTTGTTGTAAGGCCTTGTTATATAGTACATTACTCTTCACGGCTAGTGCAACTCAAAGATGAGTTATCCAAAATATGCTTCTAAGCTGAGCATCAGATGAACTTTAATCTTGAAGGGCGTGTATTTGGAAGCACAGCTTCATTAATCGTTTGGCTTAACTGAATTTTCCCTATTGTATAATATACATATATATTTCAGTATATATTCATCTACTTGTCTTCGGTTCTCTTCAGTAAGTGGTAAACGTTATCTGAATCCCGTTTGCCATTTTGGGTATCTTCTGATTGACTGAAGCGGTTAACATCCAGAGGACACTTTAATCCGTGCTGACACAGCAAACAAGAAAGCTTTAGCACAGTATGTTTCAACTTGACTCAGCAAGATTCCAGGCACTCACATTTATGTATTTTTGACAGGCTGCTTCCTAAATGAAGCACTTGCCTTCTGGAGAACTACACCCACATAGATTTCATTTTTCCTGATGTCTGTCAATATCATGAACTTTATTAACAAATTCGAATTCAAAACCCATTTCATCAAGAAAGCTGTCCAAGCTGGTTCTTGCTCATTTCTTACATACGAGGATATCTACAAAACCACAGATGCTCAACAGTGGATTTTAATGGATGTGTGTATTTGTTTATATATATCCATTTCATACCAAGACAGATAGCAGATTAGAGACAAAATAAAACGAAGGAGCTCTTTAAGAAGAATTTGAGCTCTGATTGTAGGGATCGGTGCAATGGATTTAACTCACAGCTTCAGAATTTCTCATAGCAGAATATTATAATAAAGTCTTACTGGCTGTCATTTACATTACTGCAAACAGAATAAACAACTTTCTGTTCTTTATAGACGACTGATGCCAATGTTTTGCAACCCAATTGCAATAACTAATTGTCTATCAAAGGTGCTTATTTTGGCCCCTACACCTTTGTATGGATTTTAATTCAAAAGTCCCAGTGCCATAAAACTCCAGGCTTGGACGTGGAACAATGGCAGGATATGATCAGCTTTCTCCATATAAGACATACAAATATTTAACAGCCTTGCAAAATTGCAATGACAATTTATCAGCCTAGGAAGACTATCTATCCACCTTTTACCCTGAGAAATGGTAGTACTTAAAAAAAGAAGAAAAAAGCCTACTATGAGCAGGTAAAATTTGGAAAGTCAAATGCTGAAATGTGTGTTTGGTTGTGGGTATAATGCATGAAGGGCGTGAATTCAATTCTTGAATGCCAAACGCCATTCTACACTAAGCAACAAGTCTAACGTTGCAGTATCACAAATGTGTTTCTACCCTTCTGTTTGCATTTACTGATAGGCGCGTACTCCTCGAAGAAAAAATCCAGTGGCAGCTTACCAGATTTTGAACTATAATAATATATACACACACGCATATCTCCCCCCACACACATACAGCGACTATAATGCAGGAAGCGTAATCTTTACACATTGTATTTATCTGTGCACCGTCATTCCACTTAATTTTGCAACAATACTGACGAAAAATTACTACACCTTGTTCAAATCAGCTGAGAATATATTAATGGAAATACCTCTTTTCTTTTTTTCTTTCTCTCAATAGGCAGCTTAGGAAAAACTTGCATTAAATAATTGGAATTTTATTTCAAGTAGTGACATGGTTTAGTATTTCTGGGTTTTGGAAAAATCCATCTGGAAGAAACTAAAGTCTGGTATTGAATAGGCAAGCTGCTTAGAAATCTATAGCTACATATCTAAATCAAGAATTGGGGAAAAAAAAAAAAGATTTATAGATCTGATTCCATTTTGTTATCCTTTATATGATCCTGTCTTCCGTGCTGGGACTCTAGTTTACTCCAAAGGCAGTTCTTCACACACACAGCTTGTTCTATATGCTCGTAAATTGTAAATTTAAACATTAAATATTGCTTCTGATACCTGATTGAAGGCTAGAACATTCTTGTCCTTACAGCTGTGTACAGACCACATCCTCCAAAGCTTCGCGTGCCCTACCAGGAACATTACGGAACAGCAGGGCGGAGAAGCTAGTCCGTGCTTTTTCTCTGAGGCAACACGTAAGTACACTTATATCATCCCTGACAGGTATTTTTTTAACTATTTTGGCAAACCTTTAATGGAGGTGATTGCAGAAACTTCCTTCTCCCAGCTTATAGATATTTCCCCTTAACACCCGATCTAAACATTTTCTGACTGGTTCCGTTTACTTTTGTGTCTAATATGCAAACCAGAGTCCCTAGTCATTTGCGTCACGTATGCTTAAAGGAAGAGGCAGATAAAAAGCTGATGTTTAAAGGCATTTACATACCTATCACTGCAGATAGGCACCTAGTAGCCTGATGAAATATATGAGAGGTGCTGAACAAGTCCTTTTCAATGGGACTTGGCTGGATGCAACAGGTATCTTCCCCACTAAAACAAAGAAACAGGGGAGAAATTGAGCCTCTGTACTGCCAAATATGCTTCTCAGCACTTCTCTTGGGACACAGCAGCTATGTACTGGTTTTTAACGTGTCCTAAAGCTTGTGGTGTCAAATGTTACCGTACTGAAATTCACAGTCAGCTAGGGAAATCGGCAAAAGCCACGTCTTCGGGTATCTTGGGAGCCCAAGCTGTAGTACTTAAAACCTCCCTTTCCCTCAGCAGTTCTGCATCTTGATTCCTTCTGGGACTCCCCCAGTGACTTCAGAAGGACTTCTGTGCATACATGGACCAACGTCGACATTATTTAACATTAAAAAAAGAAAACAAATGGATGTGTATATCCCATACACTGTTCATGGAAAGAGTTCAGTTATGGAAATGAATGACAGGGTGTGATATGGTTAAGTTTTTCAGAAAAAATGGCATGCAAAATGCAAAGGCGGTTTCATTAAATAAAAACACTTCAGCTGTCCAGGAAAACCATTTCCTTTTCCTCCCAAAGACTGAAAGCAACCTTAATTTATGGTATATGTCTAATAGCAGAGAGATACTTGGAAATACAGAAAAAACAGTTCTAAGAAGGGCAAGGACTTTCTTGCTTTAAAAGCAGGAACGAGAATTTAACCAACTCCTTTAAATGCAATATTTGTCACAAATGTCATTGCTTTTCTTCATTAAATTAACAAAGCATGTAGGTGACTAAAAGTCCCACTACCTACAGCTAGAGAACCATTTCACTGTTGTGGTTGCTCAAATCAATAGTCACTGTTGGTGCTTTTTTTTTTGATTGTGTTTTGTATAATATCTACGTTTTAGAAAGGATCACACAAAATATTTTGTAGTTGTACAAATGTGCTGGATGTACACATTAAAAGTGTTTAACAAGCATATTTTTTTCTTCAGAATATTAAATTAATAACTTCAAGGCTCGGTCCAGTAACTGTTTGTACAAAGAACTCTCGCAAATTGATCAGGAGTCTTGTTTGGATCCATAGCAGGATGGTTTCCATACAGATGATTTATATACTTCTATCTAATGGAAACTGTCATTATAAACAAGCAAACAAAAAAAAAACCCCAAAATGAAGAAACCCAAACTCTATTACGACCTAGCAGTGGCTAAATTCAGCTTCTCACACATTCATCCTGTGGCAGCATTGGTGGGGATATGGGAATTTCTATAGAACGGCACGATCCAACTTCCACTGCAATCCAGCAGAGGTTTTCTCTTGTCTCACTTAATATTGAATCATCACTAGGAATTTGTTCAAATTTGGCTAGACATTGGTTGATAACACAGTGTTCTCTCATTTGTTTTCAGTATTTGACATGTTAAGATACAGTGGGGAAAAAAACACAATACAAAAAGAAAAAAAAAAGAAAAAAACATTTTACTAGTTTTTTTACATTTAGTAAATGGTACTTAAACTCCATGGACATGAAAGTAATTTTAAATTTTACCTTTGAAAGTTTACCTTTTTCAATATTTCATAGAAAAGAAACGCTCTAAGATACCGTTTCAGACCACAGAATTATTACAGAACATAAAGATTATATGCAAGGGCTTAATCCTTTTCCCAACAAAGATGGTAGCCAACCCCTTTATAACTCCGGTGGGAGAAGGGTCAGCTGAGAATGTGCCATGTTCCTAATTTCAAATCTCCTTTGTGATAAAAGAGTCGATAGTTTGGCATATACTTTGCCTTGGTAATTTGAATTCTATCAACAACTATTCCTAGCCACAAGAGAAATATTTTTAGGCAATATATTTGTATAGTTTCACAAAACTATGTCCGAGAGATGTGTGCGTGTTTGTGTGTGTGTATGTATGTATGTATGCATACTTATGAGTTTGGGATGATTTTCTTAAAATACTTAACTTCACTTACATTATATCTTACATTGCAAAATGTACAGACACCCAGTGTTCTTTTTAACAACATATACAGGTGAGTTTATAGAGCCTTATAAAAGATTTTGTGATTCCAAATTAAAAACCATAGAAATATAATCAAAATAATGGAGAGTGATTTATACCTCTGATAGTACATAGCGCTCATTCTGGTAATATTGACAGCTGCATCTTTGGCATTGAAAATTCATTACAACTTTTAGACAAAATGTTGTTGCTTACAGCTTTTTTTTTTTTTTAAACAAGAAAAACAGGATTGACCAAAATACGAATATTGGGGAAGTACTATTAAAGGTTTATTTTGTTTTTGTTTTTTAGCAAGGCTAGCTTAGGAACCCTGAATTACCTTCTCACTTTAGTGTATGGTGTAGACTGTATGAATCCATTTAAAAATCAACTAAGTTGTACCACGTTTTTCGGAAAATTATATATAATATAATATATATATATTTTATATTTATTTAGAAGCTTTGAAATAGTACAGTAAACACTTTGCAACACGGTGTATAAACTACAGAATGTCTTTGATAATTTTGTGGGTCTTCAGATTAACAACATTTTTATGACCCACAGGTGAAAAGAACATGATCACAATCTCTCTTGTAAAGTTGGAATAGTTTGGGGAACACTTGATCACACAAAAATAATAGAAAACAGTCAAGTTTAAAACAGTGATATTGCATTTATAATGCACATTTCTTTTATCTGTACGATTGGCTTCTTGTGGTGAATATAAACATCTAAAGGGCTCAGTGACATTTTGGAGAGAGAAAGATATATAGTGCTGTAAACAGGCACACACTGATCAGAGAGGCAAGATCAGTTGCCTCTGAAGTTTCTACAGTTCTACACATTTCAACTCATTTCTCAGGCCTGCTGAGAGCAATTAGGTCCTATTGTTGGCCATGATGTCTCCAACAGCACACAAATCCTTCAGTTACACAGAACTGGATGGCCAAGATAATGAAGTTGAAAGTTGATGCTTTTTGTTGGTCGACTTTTGTGCAAATCATGCTGCGTCAGGTAAGTCCTGTAGAAGTGACTAGCATATCCTTTTCCGTGCTGCAGGAAAGAAAGAAAGACACTTCTGAGAGGAAAAAACAAAAATCAGTCTCCAACAGTTCTTAGGTTTAGTATTTCTTAGAGTGTAGAGAAACAATGAAAACTTGTCACAAACTGTCGCTTAAAATTCCCATTGTAGCAAACAGTATAATGTTGATTCACTTTTCAGAGAAAAGTCTTTTTGAGGCTTGGTAGCCTGAAAACCAAACTTCACAGGCTGTTTTATTATTCTGTCTAACACGTCACGGCAAGTATTCCAATGTGCCTATACAGAATCAGTATAAGACCAAGGCAAAGAGTCAGACTTGCAGGTTCAATATTACTGGAATTTCCAAGCCTATTTTTTCCTAGTTCATCTTGTTATTTGCAGCAAGATCTAGAATCCCCCACAGATTCAGAAGCCGGTTTTCCTTCTCTTTCAAAGTGAACCATTATCCTCATCACCAAATGGCCCTTTAGTCTGGTTTGACAGAGACGAAAAAATGGTGCATTAGTGCTACAATTCAAATTTCAGCATTTACTGTCAGGCTGGAAATTAACTCATGTTACACAGATGAAGAAGGTCAATGCATTAGCAAACCCATATCCTATCCACCAGCTGTGGTAGCTATATTACCTCAAGACACTGGCTATTTTAACTGTAATTGGGAGCAAAGGTAACAAATGATTTGTAGTAGCATTCGGAAAGACCCTGGGTTAAATTCCAATCTCAGTCACACATGAAGTTGAGACAAGGAACTAACTCACTTGCTGAAGTATTATTTTCATCATCATTATTGTTTAGTAAAGCTTGTAATGACAAAATCAGGTTTTACCTTAGCTCCAGATCAACTAAATCCCTACCTGAAATTCAATATATTTCTGTGCATAAAGTGTTACAACTAAAACAAAGAGGAATCTTAACTTTAGAATGAATCTTTGAATCAAGCCATCCATATATACATGTTGATGCTTGCATGCTGACAGACAAACACATCCAGTCTCCGTTCCATTTAACATAATTATGTACATTAGCCATACTTGTTCGCTATATATATTCACTAGTAAACATATGAAAAGTATCTACCGTATCACAGGGAAGTTAGATTACTTACAGGAAGATGTTAACATGGGTGTTGTACGTTTGTCTAATCTAGCCTGCCTATGCCATAGGACGCATGCAGAAAAATGTGAAAAATATTTACGTATAAGCAATCTGTTCGACATACAGACAATTGCCAGCTGTGTTATTAACATTAAAATTAAAACATCTAATGTATTCTGTTTCGGATGTTTCGGTTCTGTAGCAAATTAGTAGCAGAATTAGAAAGGATTTTTAAAAGCTTCCACAAGATTTTTTTTTTAACATGGTAGTTAAGATTAATGAGATCAGAACCTTCATGATGTTTTGATGTTGTGTATGATCAGCCCAATCAAGTTTCTAGACATCTTTTAAAATATCTTTTTAAATGTTACAAAAAACAATCATTCCAATAGTACTAGTAACAATAACACAACTTATATTTGATCTTCAAAACTTTTTTCCAAAAGTTCATTAATAATTTCAGTTCTCTTGTAAATATTTAAGTTCAGTAGTTTAGAACAGTAGGACTTTCATGGGAGAAGACTATAGAGATACGCAGATTGCTGCTTTCATGCAGCACTACTGTCCTAATCCTGTCTGACACAGGGCGTTGGTGGTGTTGATGTGGCACTTGATGTACGCAGCAAAATCTGTTTACGATATTCTTTCAGATAATACGGAGAATGAGTTACTGGCTCTGTCTAGTCTTTTGCCATGTAAATTAATGCATTTTGTAGTTTTTAAACTTCAGTTAATGTGCTTATATTACAAATCAATCAGGCCATTTTATAGCAATAACTAAATAATACACCTTAGGGTGCAGAACACCTGCGACTCTCCCCACCTACAAAAATCCTTGTCCCAAATCCTAGAACATCCTCTGCCAACACATGAAATGCATTGGATTTCAAAGGCAACTTTTGTCCTCCGTGGTTTTGGGGGTTTTTTTCTGTATTTGCACGGAAATTTATGTGCAAGCAAATCTCTCCATGTCTATACCAGTTTCCGTCTTTTTACAGATGGGGAATATAAATCAGAGAGGTTAAATGGAAAGGAGGATGGACATAGCTTAAAACAGAGGGCAATGAAAGTTCTGACATCTGCTTCTGGCTCTGTGTGTGTGCATGCATGTGTGTTCATAAATAAACTTTAATAAGAAACACTAGGCCTCTCTGTATCACAATTTCTCCATCTGTAAAATGGGAATAATATTGCTTACCTATCTCCTAGAGGTGCAGGAAGGTTTAAATCACTATTCTTTATAATCCATTTTGAGATCCAGAGATGGCAAGTGCTATAGAAATGGAAGTATCAGAGTCAGTGTAAGAGCTGGAACAAGAACACCATAATTTCTGGTGCCTAATATTATCCTCTGAGATCACAGCTCTCTCTCTCATCCCTATTTCACCTCCTCTCAAACTAGCGCATAAGGAAGCTTCAGGTCTGCGTGAGTACAGCTACTAGTTAGAAAGAAGGTTTTAATAATAAGCAGTTTCATAATTCCATTAATGTAATGATAATATTTGTACATATATTCTAATAGTGTTTGAGGTGAACAAGATGATGAAAAAATCACAAGTATTCCGACTAAAATTCTTAGTGTACATGACTTGTGCTGTACTGACTACTGGTCCTTCCCCAAAGACCTTAACAAAGATTCTGCGTGTTATAGTAAGAGCGCTTAATGCATAAAATTTATATGGAAATGCAATAAAAACTGGAAATAAAAACCAGCAAAAAATATATTAGGATTCATTTGTTCCTCAGCACACATTAGCAAGCCTCCCATTCACAGCGAGCTAGTTCTGTGTAGACTGATGAGAGAAGACATGTAAAGACATCAGTGGTAGATGAACAGAAAAAGAAATGAAAAACAGTAACATAACAAACAGAAAGGAGAAAATAAAGTATAAAGTGATTTTTCCTTGCTTATGAGTCAGAAATGAACAGAAAATACTGTCAAGCCCTAGTCTCTTTAATAAATCTTCCTTTCACCCTCTTGTGAATCAACCTATTGCATTGAAATGTGACGTCAGACCATACTTTCCAGCCACGAATACAGACATACACATTTCCTCTGTTGGCAAACCCTGGAAGGGATTGCCTGTACTTGGAAGACCTTCAAACTCTCTGAATAAAAATCTTCCCCTGCTTAGTATTGCTAGCTAATCTAACCAGGACAGAGAGAGGGCCCGCTGTGTCCCTCCACAGCTGGCAACGAAAGCAGCAAAAGACGACACCTCCTGTACCTTTTATAACTACTGGCACTTTCACTCTATACTATATTTAAGAGCTCCATAAACTCCCACAGCACTATATCTGCTATAACAGAACGACTGCAGAGTTCCCCCAACTGCCAACAGTCTAAAGATCCAAATGAACCCCCAGATAATAAAACCTCAGAAGCATATCAAATGCCGGGCATGCTGCTGCTGTTACAGCAATACTGCTGATCCCCCTTCACTTAGGAGAAAGGAGAACCTTGAACCTAAAAAACTCCGGTTTAAACCAAAGCGAGCTACGCAACAGGAGCACAGGGGGAAAAGCCAGTACGTAAACTGCCGTCTTGCTATTGCAGGTCCGAATTCTGTAAGTTAGCACAATTTCCAAGTAATACTTGTCTTCACGTGGGCTTTCAGATACGGGCTTCTACGCAAGCATCAATGCATTACGTTTTTTCCCGTGGGTCCCCCGTAAAAAAGCGCGCCTCGCCGTGCCACGTTTGTGCAGATCGGGGGCCCCCACGCAACACTGGATACAGAGATTACGGCAGGCTGTAACGTCCTGCGTTCCACTCGGCAATAGCCCAGCTCTTCAGGCTTCGCAGTGAATGCCTTTCACTTGTAGCGAGCAATAATTTTAAAAAGCGGTAGTTACCTCATATACATTATGGCAACGTTGGTTTTAAATTTGCATTATTAATTTTAACTCTCCGTATTTTTATGGTTTGCTTTGCAGTCTATACGTTAACTGTAGCAGATGAAATATTGCCCTTCGCTAAGTCCCATGAGCTTTGACAGAGCCAGGAATGGATAATTCTAGCGACAACCGACAGACCGCCATTCAGCATTCTTGTTTTAACTCAGCCCGACTGAACAGAGACCAGGGTTGAAGTTAGTGGTAGAAGTTATTCCATACGAAATAAGCTGGCTGTTTCAGGTAACCTGGAGCTCTAGTTCAGTTACCAGCAACTATATTTTTGGAAAGAGCTCAACAAGTGAATGGGAATGCAGAGTAAACTACCATAGGTCCCTCACCCTTTGTAGTGGTGTATCCGGGTAAAGGGTGAGACACACGGCTGGGGCTGGGGGATGTAGGATGGGGATTACTCTGCTGCCACCCATGTTCTGTGGATAAAAAAGTATTCCAGTCACTGCAGGTGTCAATTCAGTATCTTTTGCAATCCATAAAGTCTTTTTATTTTTTTAATCAGCTGTTACTTAAAGACGTTTTTTAAAGCATTGCTCATAATATTTTCTGAAAGTTCCGCTAACGGCATTATAGAAAGAGATTGTCTTATGCAGTTCAATAAACCTTGGTACACAAATACGAAAATAATATTTTTCTCATATATCTCTTCCTCGTGAATTCATTGAAGGGAAACTTTTTTTCCTTTTCTTTCAAGTCTTTAGTTAAGAGATTTTGTGCTTCAAATCTACGTACTCTGTAAAGCACACTTGGACAAAATAGCTTGCGTTCCAGATGCCCATGTTACATTTTACACAATTAATGTGGTTTTGTTAACTCTGTATCATACCAAATAGTTGAAAACAGGAAGATGGAACATACTTACTTTTATACTTTAAAAAAAAGTGTAATAATGTCAACGAGTCAGTTGGCTCTGTGGCCGCTGTTTATGTGCTTATGTATATGTCTGAAGACTCCTGAAGGCCACCAAGGGAGCTAGGTAAGGAGGAGACCGCTTTCTGCCTGGCCA